TGATCCACCGCCTCTTGGAAGCAAAGGAAAATGACTACTTCTTACGATAGGTCAGTCGCACTCATGATCTTACGATCATCAAGTGCTTATTATGGTTCCTCATACGGTGGGACGGTTTCATATTTTTCTGCCCTTTCCAGGATTATTTTTACTCGCAGGCGCAGCGATCGTAAAAAAAAACATGAAATGCCGCCGAAGTGTTTTTGTAGCGATGAAAAAGTAGTCATTACTCACGTTCATTGCTTTGCGCGCTGCGCATGATTAAACTTTTTCGGCGATTTCTTGATGTATTTCTGAATGGCCGCATCGGGTCCCACAGCGAAGTCGAAAAGCAGTGCTCGGAAGAAGTTGAACAGATGGTCAAACGTTGGTCGAGACCTGTAAAACTGCTGCCTTGTTGTTTTGTATTTTGTTTATTGAACTGATCATTATCGCAATAAGAATCACAAGTAAACCACCAGGCACACAGAATGGTCAAAAAATCATTAAAATTTGCAGGTGTTCTCACAATTCCACATGGAAGCACATCCCAAGATCAAAGTGTTTGAAGCTTCACCACCTCCACAATGGTTGGAGTTCGCTCAGGAGAATCTATATTTTTGCAGCCTTCTGGGTGGTGATTAGGTGCAAGCTCAGACTCAGCTTCACTGATCTAGTCGCTCCCGTAGGATAGAGGTGAGCGGTCCGCCACTGCAGAGGTCGCGCCACCTTCGCACATCGAAACGCGTCACTGACGCTAGGCGCTGAGGACTTTGATCAAATCCCACCAAAACTATCAGGGCCCGCCCACCGTTCGATATCTTATCTGCGTCGCACTGTTGATCTGCTATGCTCTCTCTACTCGGACTTCTTTTACCCTCTCCGCGACTCACATTATCTCTCATCCTCTGCCTGACTCCTACCCTCTTACCCTCTGGTTGGCTTCTGCGCAGCGTAGAGCAGCAAGGATCATATTCCAGGTGTTTCTCAGTATTTTCTTTCCTTTTTCCTCCATTTACAGTCCACCTCACTTCCCTACTTTCACATTTGAGTGGATTACCACATCAATTTAATCCTCATCCTTGCTTTGATCCTCAGTGCATATCTTTCACTGATGGTCCTATCCCATTGGAATATCTCTAGCTGATTGGCGGTAAGCCTTTTTCGCGATTGGCCAATTTTCTTCTGGGATAGTACGGTGAGTGCTTTGGTCCGGCCACGACGGCACGATAGGTTGAAAGGTGCTGGTACGACATTAGCCGGATGATAGTGGACAGCAAGAATAGCCTCATATCTGATCGGAGGGCCCTTGCACAGACATGACATGGGGAGTCGGTTTTTGGTTCGGGACTGTATGTAAATGGACAGAGTCGGGCTCAATAAGGGGGTATTATGGCGATTGAAACTGAGTACAGAGATGCGCAGTAGAACGACAGTGGAGAAAAAAACTGAGAAAAACCTTCGACAAGGCCGTTAACAAATCCTCTTTCCCACTAGCAGTGAAGGAGGCTGTCTTCCCATTTGTGTGGGGGGAAGGATGTTCAGTCTTTTCTATCGGTTTGATACGGCAATCATATTGTTGTCAAGTTATGCCAGCACGCCATTCCGGAGCTGTGGGCGGGTCCCGGATTGACGAGGCGGTCCCGGATTGAAACCGACGGCCCCGGGGGCTTAACGACGTTTTTCAAGGTGGGAAGTTGCTGCAACGTGTGCAGCTACCCACATACAACCTCCAGGCACGGAAATTACTTCTCTAGCGTGTCTGAGCCGCGTTTGCTATAACTTGTCGGTGAGTGAGATTGAAGTTGTTTTTTGGAGGACCTGCGGATTGACTCACCTCCGGCTTCGTTAGTTTGCGCCCTGGAAGGCAACTCATCGAGGAATGTATCCGTTGGCATAGTCCCTGTATTATCACCATCTGTTCTTTTCTACTGGCAAATGGACTTCGAAGGGCTGAAAAAGAATTTTAATTAGAATCATCATGTCTCTCGTGACGGCTCGAGACTTCAAGTCGAGACTGCGTAGGTCCAATGCGATTACAGCCGCTCGAGCCTCCGCAGACACCACAAAGAGACTCCCCTCCACAAAATGAATGTTTTTACCAGATGAAATGATTAGTCGGTTGGTGTTGTATTCTATCAAAGGTCATAGATTGCAGGTTATTTTAAACTATCAGCTATCTTATGACCTTAGTTACAGATGTACGGTGGATGCCGTCGTGCATCCTGTGTCGGGTGTGTGCTTCTTTGCCTCGACGACGGCTACTTGGGTTCTCGGATGAGGGGTATAGTTGACCCAGCTGGATATGGTGATATTTTAGTTGGACTCGCTCGAATAATGTTTTATCACTTTGTTTATGGCTCACCGTGTATTTTATAGTTTAGTTGTGACAGTTGCGGTAAATTACAAAAAAATCGATCCCTCACTAGATAATTGAGTCAAATTTAGTAAAGAATATTTCAAAAATCGTGACTGACTCGTTGTGGGATTGAGGACGTTTTCTCTGGAACGCGTATGGACCGAGGCCGTCATGATTAATCTGGAAGTGAGCAATAAGCAACAGAGCAAATGGCATGGTAAAAGCAACACCCCAGAAAAAATTGGTAAGGAAACAGCAGGTATATAATGAAAACATGAGTTCCGAACTGACGGAAAATGAAAAAAAAACCAAATGCGCCGATGAGGCCATTACAAGTATTTCTTCTCTTCCTCCTTGAAATAAAGAAGGGGCGGGGCCGGACGAGTTTTCTGAACTTGCTTGCTCCACGGCTCCACTAACCCGCGCGTATTTGAATTAGCCGCTACGCAGTGGTCACGCAGCCAATCACGCGATCTCAACGGCTAGCAAATGGGCGTGTCAACCGAAAGGCGGACGGACCGAAATTGGTACCTATTTTAATTCTAATGTAACTTTCTGCTTCAGCGACACTTCCTATGTTCTCGACTAGGGCTCACGCATCTTTTCACTCTATTAGTAGCAAAAGTATGGCTCCACCCGGGGTTGTTGTCTTGAGGTGCACTCACCTCGAAAATGACACATCCAAATGCCCAGATATCTGTGACAATGTCGAAGAGATGGCTCTGCAAGCACTCCGGCGCCCACCATGGCCAGTCCAAATCGCACATATTGATCATCTCCACGGTGTCCTGCAATTTTGAACATGGCTCGGGATCCTTTACCCAATAGATAGCCACTGAGATAGAGGGGAAAAGGAATTGCGAATTACCTCATCCAGGAAATGGTACGGGACCAGGTAGTCAGTGATTTTGACAGCGTAAATGTGGTTGGTAGACTGGTGAACGACGATGTTCGATGCCCGCAGGTGGCGATGGCACAGGCCATTTAGTTCCAGAAATCGCATCCCTGCACTGACCTTAAAAACTATGGTTAGATCGAAGGTTCTTCGAAGCATGCTAATTCTTCCTCTCAGCTGTCCTCTTGCAGGGCCCTTATTCGGTACCAAACCTGCAGTTCCTTCTAGTTCGCTGACCTGGTACAAAATCTCCGACTTTTGTCTCATTGACATGAACTGGTTCAGGTACTTCCGACGCTGAAGACATCTGTCAAGTGGCGTACCAGCGATGAATTCGTACGCGATCCAATTCGCAAACTTCTAAATGGTTCTCTTTTGAAAGCAATCGTCACTGTTAATTATCACCCTGAGGGAT